TAGTTTGCTGTTATCATACAGAACAGCCTTAGATAACAAATTAACAGTGACTAAAAAAAGAATAAATAAAATAATATTGTGTTATATAATTATCTTTCTTCTCAAAAAAAGGAACACATATAAAAAAAATATTATCATTGGAGTTTTTAGACAATTTATTTTATTTCCAATTGTGTAGAACGAATATTATTGTATGTAATACTGAATTGATGTATGATACGGTTAATTTTAAAATATAAAACTTTAAAATTCAGACCATAAACTATATATTCATTTCTACTAGTCACTATTAATTGGTAAAATATTAGATATTAGCGTATCATTATTTTTATATTATAACTTGTTTCAGAAATTGAAAGATAATGTTGATATATTCTTATTTTAATACAACCAAGTTTAATAGTAATACTAAATAATTAGTCTTAGATAAATATTCATCAAAGTGAAAATAATGATGTGATGGAAAAATATCGACGAGAAAAAATTTATTTATCATTACAGATGAATATAATAAGATGATTGAAACATACCTAGTCTGATTTGCTCGGGTCGTCAAATGTGCTTCTTTGTTCAACTGATGTAGTCATGTAAATCCTAACACTGTTGACAAATATCCATCATCATTGATTGATTTAGTTTTCATTGATTTCTCTTCAGTAGTCATATCGTATTTATAGGATTTCAATAAAAAGTCACCAGTAATTGAGAATTTAATGATAGAATTTTTGTCCTTTCAGATATGACAGCTGTGTCTTCTAATATCATTTCAATTTTAAAAAGGAAAAGGGATGAGACAATATCGATTATAAATAGTTACACTCTTTTTAAAACTAATTTCCGTTTACATACTCTAGAATCTACACGAGATATACTTGTTCAATTAATAAAATCTGTTATAAACTCATAGCGATTATTCCTTATTCATGTTTTAACTGATGAATATTTTATTCGATATTTCTTTATTCGTCCTTTCCCATTTATACATTTTTTCTTTCGATCTTTTTCCAATCACTCAAAATAATAAGCCAAAATTGAAAACTAATCTAAGCATTTCTGTGAGATCGAACGACTAGCAGTACCATTTAGGTAATATTACATATGTAGATGATTCTATGTTATCAATATAGAAACCAAAAAGAAAAACGTACCACACACGCAAATTCTTTATTGGTTTAAACTTTAAAGAAAATAGATAAGTGTTGTCAAAAAAAGATTTTGAAGCAGACAATATCATTTCTTCTGTAGAGATTAGAAAAACACACCGTTACTTTAGTGCGCGCTTTTTTACCTTGAAAGTACGATTTAAAAATACATCAGAACTAGGACACAAAACAGTTGTTATCAAATTCATGACAATGCACGTCAATAAAGGTAAAGTGCATTTAAGAACGAGTAAATAAAGTAATAGATAGTAGGATAATTATCTATTTACTAAGATTATTTTACAAAAAATAGAATAAATACGAAATTGAACGGTAATTATGATATACCGAAAAGAATTTTATTATCTCAAATGTGTCTTATGTAATGTAGAAATACGTATTTAACACATTATCTTTCAATCGTAATAAATAGAGCATAAATTCATTTTGTCTAGATTTAGATAAATTATTATAATGTATTTTCTCAGAAAATTCTGTTTTATTATTGATTATATGTATATTCATGTGTCTATATTTGAAATCACCTTTTCTTGAGTTTATATACAAGAACAATTAATTATAAATAGATGAAATTTGTTATTTATTTTATTGATTATTAAAAAATACGTTTACATCAAAATATTGAATAAAAAAGAAATAGTCTATTTTTTCTCAATCTTTGTTGGTGTACCGAAAAGAATATCTCGCATAGCATATTCTTTTTCTGTAAGACATTCACGTCGTGGAATGAAAACATTTGGATCACTGATACCAGCAGTTATGTCAAAGAATGATGTTTCTGTACGACCATATTGAGCACTGTGACTAATGTGTCGAACTGGAAGACAACCTCTCATTGTCCATGTTCCGAATGTACGAACAGTATCATTTGATGGTGTTGTATGATTTCCACCCCTATAATTATGAAATAAATATATTATTTAATATAACTATAAGAAAATAAAATATTTACCATAAGGTAACTAATAAACCTAAACCTGGTGCAGCTGATGAACCGATATAAGCTTCACCGAATGATGTAGCATCAGGTCGGATACCGAAATCTCTCCAGCGTCGGTCAATTTTTCGGCGTGAGCAATTATGATGTTTAAAGTCATATACATATTCTGTGTTGGAATCAAATAATGCGATAACATCAAAGGCATCATCTGTACTACCAATAATGACTTCTTCAACCATACGTTCACGACGATAAGCAGCATCATAACTCAATCGACCACGAACTGTAAATTTTTGTTGTTGATTATGATCGAAAATATTAGATTCCCATTGTGGTGGTGTAGTACATGGTCGTGGTGTTTGTGCTGCAACAAAAGCAACCAAACAGAAAGCAAGAACAGCAAACATTTCTTTAAATGTAGATGACGAAAAAGTCGTAAAAAAACTTATAGTTAATGCTCATGAAATAATGTCTCTTTATATAAGCGACTCGCTAGATAAGAATTGATTATCATAGCCTTGAAATAAAGTAAGAAAAAAAAATAGAAGCACAACTTGTCTAAAGTTATCAACGGTAGTTGATAATACGTTTGGTTATAAGAAAAAGTAAATAAAGTTATATGATGGTGTTGAGTAAATATCGTTCTTTTTTTGTTATACCGACAAGACAAAAATAAAAGCATCGTTTTAATGTAAAACTAATTCTTTTTTTTCAAAAACAGATTTGATATAAATTCCCGCTTATAACTATTCTATTTATTTATTATTTAACATGTTGATAATTGAATCATGGGCAGATTCTGATCCATGCGAAATTTATGAAAAAGAAAATCAATTAAATGAAAATGAAATTGAAAATCTTGTATCGAAATGCATACTTGATGAACTTGATGAAAAATCCTATAATTATAATTTAAGTATTCAATTATCAGAAAATATTGCGAAAAATATTCGTCGTGAACTTGCTGAAAAATATAAATTTTATAAAATTATTGTACAAACATTTCTTGGTCAAATGTCAAATGAAAATTTAGATTCATATAATTTTAAATTATATGCTTCATATCATTTTGATCAACGAACAGACAAATGTCTTTCAATTATTAAAAATAATGGACAAATGTAAGCATACGAGAAAAACAAATGTGAATTTTAATCGTTCGAATGAAAACGAAACTAAATTGAATTAGAAAAAAAATCAATTAAATTATTAGGTTTTCATGTAAAAAAGTCTTTCGACAATATTTCTATCCGATTTTTATTCATTTCCAAGACAAAGCACAAGTATGCCTTACTAAAGTACTTTGCAGATAATAAATTTTTTCAACAGCGTCAGGAATTACCATAAATAAATCGAAATATTTTGACTTTGTGAGGATAGCAACCAAATTCTTTCAGTAGTTCAATCGAGTGAATATTTGTTTTTAAATAATTTATATTCTTTTTAGATATTGTTCTTGCATTATTTTTCTACTCTTCTATCATCACAAATCTCAACTAGATTAATCATTTATTTATCTTTCATCATTATTTTTTATTAAATACGAAAATAGCTCTGCTCGATGTCTCTCTCTCCCTTCCCCTCTCTCTCTCTCTTCTTGAACAAAAAAAAACTTGAAGAGAAAAAAGAAACAAAGAAAGAATTCATCATACTCGCAATAAGAACAAAAAAAGAAGAAAAAACGTAATATAGATAATATAATAATAATAATTAGAATGGATAGAGAGAAACTCTAGCACATACACAATAAATAATCAAGAAAGAGAAAGAAAGACAATTAGAACAGAGAAGAAAAAAAAAGAATTATTCAAGAGAGAGAGAGAACTATACAGAGAGAACTCTTCAAATTAATAAATTTTTCTTTTTGTACAATGAACAACGCATAAGCGTACAGAAAAAATCTTTTTGTTTATGAAACGAAACAAATTTGAAAGCAAATAAACGATCGCACATATACATAAGGCAATACAGACAAAAATTCATTATTTTTTTTTCAGAACTAATTTAAAAAACAAAGAAACATACACATAATTAGTTAAGTTAGTGTTTAGTTTGTATTATCCGAACAAAGAAAACTTAATAGGATATCTTCAGCTGAATTATTATCATCATTTGTTTGTTGTTGATGATTATTATTAGATTGTTGTCCCAAATAAGTATCAGCCAAAGCATCAATATCATCAAAAAGAGTCTAAAATAATGAGAGAATATTTTATTTTGACCGAAAAAAAAATATTTTTAAAAACTTACAGATGATACATCATCAGTTAAATAAATATTTGTTGGATCTTTGAGATAAGCAGCAAGATCATCAACATTATTCATGGGTTTATTTTGTTCATATTGTTGAAATTGATTTGTTATTGATTGTGTTTGTTCACTTGAAGATCGTGGACGTGTTAAAGGTGTAGGTGGAGCTGATAAAGGATTTGGTGTTGGTGGCATCATAACTGGTGTATGAGGATTTGTATTCTGATTGTTGATTGTTTGAGGAGTTAATGGTGTATGTGGAAATGAGTATTGATGTGCAGCAACACGAGGTGTACCAACACTCTAGAAAAAACATATAAAAACAAAACTAGAAATTGAAAAGCGAAAAAAAACAATTTATGTACCGGTGGGCCAGGTGTCATTTGACGATCAGTTGTATCATTATTACCAGGACAAAGTGCATCTGTAAGTGAACTAACTGATCCTGGAGCGCCATGATGATATGGAACACCAAATTCAGCAGTACCATTATATTCGCCATTATTATGTAGTTGATGCGGTGTACTAGGATTACTTAATGGACTTGTGAATATTTGAGATTGATGATGAGAAAGTGTTGATGGAGATGTTTGAGCATATAGTGGATGTTCTTGTGGAATAGATGACGATATTGAAGGTGGTGGTGGTAATTGTTGAGGAGGTCCATAAGAACCTGGTGTTGAATAAATTGCTGGATAATAAGATGCTGATTGTGGTGGAATACGTTGTTGTTGTTGTTGTAAAGCTAAATTTAATGATGATGGAGGTATAGGTTGATATTTCATTATAGGTTCATCATTAAAAGATGTCATATTGCTTTGCTTCTTTTTACTTTTCGTTTTTGTTGCTTTTAATTTTGTTGTAGATGTTGTTTCGGATAAAATGGCATTATAAGTTTGTTCAATCGGTATTGGTTGTGGATGAGATTGTAAATGTTGTTGTTGTTGTTGCATCTGATGTTGTCTCCAAGCAGCTTGTTGCTGTTGCTGTTGATATCGATACCATGCTTCTTGTTGTTGTTGTTGTTGCTGTTGTTGATAATACATCGGATGTTGTGATGGATGCATGGGATAGTGACTATTATTTGACTGCATATGTTGAGCACATTGACAAACTTGACCAGAAGGATGTGGATACATGGATGGATGATGATGCTGTTGTTGATGATGAGACGAAGGCGGAGGCATTGGATACGGCATTGCACGTGTTCGTGCTGACATTATTTGTTGTTGACCAGGATGATAACTGGTCATTGGACCAATGGATGATTTTGAAGCAAGCATACGTTGTTGATGTTGTTGTTGTTGTTGATGTTGATGTTGGATTTGTTCCATTTGCATAGGTGTATAAGATACATTGGTATTATTAGGAGTGTAAACATCCTTAAAAAATAAGAAATTTTGTTTACTGTCAATAAAAAAACAGCTGATTTTGAAACTTACTGAATTTGAAGTTGTTGTAGATACTTCATCAGTTAATGAAGATGTTGTATCATTTGAATCATTTTTAACTGATAGGGGTGCTGTACTTGGATTTGATGTTGTTGTTGAAGTTGAAGGTGAAAGAGGATTTGAAGATGTTGTTGATGGATTTTGTTGATATTGATATGATTGTTTTAATTCACTCATTTGATGTGGTATTGAATAAGGAGATGATCTTGAACGTGCTGGATGATAACTATGAATAGGACCTACACCACCTGATATCATTCTATGTTGTTGCTGTTGTATTTGCCATTCATCCATTGAAGCAATTGGATGAATTGAAATAAATCTGTAATAAAATAAATCATCTGTTTAGGTTTTTGAATTCTCTTAGTTCTCTTTTTTTTTTAAAGAAAAATAATCGACTAAATCATCTAAAAGGGTAATAATCGTGTCTGTGTGTAACGAAGAGAGAGACTGGTCGACACACAACAGACGAGAGAGAAGGAAAAAAAAGACATACGTCAAAACGTCGTAAAGCAATAGCAGTAGAGAAGCGAACGAACGGAAGAAAAAAAAAAGCGAGAAAGAATCACTTGCACCAGCCAAACGTCTATCTGTCGTTCTCTTTTGTGTTGATAGTGGTGGTAGTGTGGTGGATGTGTTTCCTTCTTTCTTTCTCGTCGACGATTCGCGAATTGTAGATAGGTAGTTCTCTCTTTCTTTCTCTTGGCGTCGATATGTCACTGTCACTGGTCGCTTTCTTTTCTCGGCAGGCAGCAGCAAGAGGAAGAAAAAGAGAAATGTAACCGATCAAAACTATCAAAAGCTTCGCGTTGCTTCGTCTGCCTATATCAACGAACGACGAAGAAGAAAAGAGAAAAAATTCTTCTTCTTCTTCTTCTTCTCTTCTCTTCTTCTGTGCTTGTTGCACATCGAATAGTGGTCGCTATACTGGGCGACGTGTACTTGTCCTCCGTTTGCGTTTACTTGCTATTCAAAAGTGAAACGAAGAGAGAAAGGAAGCAGCGAAACGGGCAGAAAGTCATCTGACTGATTTTTTTTATCGATAACAACCGTTTTCTTATTTGCAAGAACTACCTTGCTTTTTTGCGTTGTTATATTAATCAATCAAAGAAAATATCAATTCACTGTTTTTTTTACGTCTATATCTCAAATATTTCAATTGTTCTCTTTCTTTACAGCGAGCATGGTGATTTATTTAATCTCTATTTTTGTTGAACTTGTATATGACTGGTCAGGTGGAAGATAGGGCATAGACCAGTGAAAGGAATAGAACGAAAAAGAAAGGAGGATGAGGTCGTCGTCATCATTATATTGTTATTGTTGTTTGTTGAGGTATTATACGGAGTGAGAGAAAAAAAGATGGTGAAGAGAGAGAGAGAGAGAGAGAATACAGAGGTCATCGCTACAGTTTCAATATGACATATGATTGAGCGAGAGAGAAATATATTGACCTATAGTTCGATGGTTGACCCTTTATCTCTTGCACAAGTCTCGATATCTTAAAGTATAGATATGTCTACTTTTAGTAAAGTTACTCTTCGAAGTTTATAACGAAATAGATGATATGTCGATAAATGATCAGACACATGTGACAAAGAAATGTTAATTCTTTTCTCATCTAACGATTTCGTTTTTGCTTTCTACAACTATTTATCATATGTTCATTGAACAAACATTGAGTATTAAGTAGTTTTTATTTTACTTGTACGTTTTTCAAGGTCTCTCTTACAATCGGAATATTTATCTTAATTCATTCAAAATGATTTTATTTATAATGATTAGAAAGATTCTCGATTTTTCGAATTCTTTTTAAAAAAATGAAGATTTTTGATGAATAAAAATATAACTTATTCTCAAGATATTTTTCTAGGATAAATTTAATGAAAAGAAAAGAAAAGGAAAGGAAAAGAAATATAGATAATACTTATATTTATCTTACTATTATTAGAGCTAAAGTATTAAGACGATGAGAAAAAAAAATAACGGACTGAATAGTAGTAATAGTAACGATGACGACAATAACAATAATAATAACATGATGAAAGAATACAGAAAGAGAAAGGGGAGCAACAGTGAGTGGAAGAGGACGAGACAGACAAACAAAACCAGTTATTAGAAGGTGGAAAGAAAAAAAATCCGGAATACGTCAATATCTATGTCTTGCAGACATAAAAAACAAAGTGGCAAACGGCTAAATACTACGTGTTTGATAAAATATATTATTTCGTTATACTCAAAAATTGACATTCTTGTTTTTATTACTTCAATCATTTTTTATAAATACATAATTGATATAGAAAACAAGAATAAATAAGAGAAAAAAAACAACGAAATTTTGTTCATTTCACCGAAAGAAAAATCTTCCGAACGAAAAGTTGCTTACCAGTATTATTGACAGACTTGTGCGTTGCGCTAGTATGATTTCACTCAGTAAGAATGACGTTGTCATATTCGATAGCGAAAAAAAAAGACAGAATAGAAAGACGAAAGAATGTGAGAGGAAAAAAAAAGAGTGATGACGTAATGTTGCAATAACTTGACGATGTTAGTATAAAGAATCTATCCTTCCACCGTTACTCATCGCGTAGGTAGTCACTTCTAGTATATTCTTCATTTTTTATTGAAGAGAATAAATTCCCATTGATAAATATGATCATAATTGACATATGATGATACATCTGAAATTCTCTGTTGTGTACATCTGAGAGATACATAAATACAGTTGTCAAATAAAAAAAAGGAGAGAAAAGTTGTCAATCATTTGTCATTCAATGTTTTTTTTTT